GGGGGGGGAGGGTGTTAATGGATAGTATTTTGTCTGAATCAGTTTCGGAGTCTGATTCAGACAAAATACTATCCATTAAATCCATATTTTTATTTTAAATGTAAGTTTGCAATTTCGAAATGAAATTCGTCAAATGCCCAATTTTCAGCTGCGCGCGCTACTTCATGTTATTCGTTCAAAAGGTGACAAATTAAATTACGTAACCTGAAGCATGCAATGAGCAAACAGAACACAGGCTCCGATTCAGAAGCGCATGGTACTTCGCACTTTGCAGGGTTTTCTGGTCATCATCAAACGTTTTAATGGAATTTTACCAAAATAGTTACCAAATCCTTGAATTTTAAGAAATTTTACCAAAATTTTACTAAAAAATCTTTTTTACCAAATTTCTATCAAAATTGTCGAAATTTTACCAAAAGTAAAAAAAAATATATTGAATATGGTCACACTGAGTACAATCCCGTGATGCAATTGGGCACTAGCTCCAAACCGCGTAATTATTTTCACACAAAATGGCGATCAAAATATCGAAGAAAACGGAGTACGAACTGCTCTTATAACGCGATTGGAAATGTTATTGACTGATGTAACGGAATGCCTTTCAACAGAGCTTGATGTTATTGATCGTATATATTCGCGATTTTTCTGAAGACCTTTATCGATGCCTAGCAAATCTGACAGCACGAAATCCCGAAAATTACAGCTACATCAGGCCAGACTTCTCGTAGTCGTAGATGTCATACAACGTCCCTATTTTGAATAATGAAAATTACGGACCGGAAACATTGGGAATCATCCTAAGGTCAATAATGCCAGGTAGACCAAAATCTGAAATTTTGAGAGACCAGCTGCAGTATTTGTAGCCTGATATAAACAGACCTACATTTCACCCGCCCTAAAATTCGTCGACGAAAGGGCGAAACGTAGGTCTGATGAAAATGTTGTCAAAAGCGCCTTCCGCCCACTTTGCATTTTGCAATAATTAACGATGATGATTGACACATATATGTAATACCTAAAAATACAATGAAAGTTGTCGATTTCACTTTTATATTGCAAGTTTGTAAACTAGTTTAAAGAGTCGATAAGTACAGATATTCGAATAATAAATATTTAAAATATTGGTAACCCCATGGAGCCCGTTGCTTTTATATACTTAAACCTTTGTAAACAAACAGTTACAGCTAGTAATACAACCTTTTCAACACATTCTATAAATGCGATAAAATCTGTCTACGCAAATTTGGCAATACCCTGGTTCCAGAGGTTTATTTTTATTATTTTCATTGCGAAGGGGAGAGGAAAAATCTCTCTAAACCTCTGGAACCAGGGTAATTTGGCAATGGCCAATGTGCCATTGTTGAATTGCATCCCAACTCTTACAATTTATACATTTGAAAATTGAAATCGCCATACAATGGTAAAATTTACTAAAATATTTTGTACGTGCTATGTTATCAAAATGTAAATCATGAATGCGCACATATTTGTATCCGAGTCTTAATATTATGATTAATCACAAAACTTAGATCGTGTCTAAAAAATTATATAATGTATTGTTTATTACAACGGAAAGATATAACGCTGAAGAATTTGACACGTACTGCTCTAAACTCCCCTCTAGTTTTATTTTTAGACGGTAGATACGGATCATAGACTAGTTGTCGTTCGGCATCACAAAATATTTATAATATTACACTGTATGCATATTTATATGCGTTGATTTACCGTTGAAAATATTCCGATCTTTTCAAATCTTTTCATGTTAGCGACCAACCAATCACAACCCATTTCCCTATGAATTAGCCAATCAGCTTTGTCGACCGCCTGGCGGTCGACTTACATGCACTTTTGACAACATTTTCATCAGACCTACGTCGACCCGCGAATTTTAGGGCGGGCGAAACGTAGGTCTGTTATCAGGCTATAGTATTTGCAGATGTATTTTGTGGTGAATTGGCCACACCATCCATAGCTGTACAATTATATATCTAGCCTGTAGAGATGACTGAATATCATCTGACGCCGAAGTCTAGTAACCGCCACAAAATTGTAGCAAAAAGGTTACTTTATCGTTGCCAAATGCGTTATTATTGTAGCAAAATGTTACGTATCATTGCCAAATGTTATTGAATTTTGACACACATCACCCGCCATATATAATACGGCGTGAGGGGTAGAAATCACGAGTCAACATGCCGACATCAGCAAAATTTGGTAAACAAATTCCGCCACACCGCCTTCCTTTTGCAGCCATTATATGGGTCATTAACTTTGCCAATGAAAATTTATTGAGTATGGCTGGAGGGGCATAGCTTCGAAAGCTGCATTTAATGCATTCATCAACATTCTTTATAGCCGAAACAGTTAGACATTTTGTAATATGATTGAAATTGGAACGAAATGCGTTTCAATATATCGGGACATTTGTTTAGCGGTATAAATCAATTAAGTAAGCGGTGTCGAATTTCAGATGTTCAAGCACAACAAATCGATATTTGCTTATATTCTTTTATAGATTTGGTGGCTCTTAAAAGAGCCGTTGTTTTGAGTCTTTAAAGACGCTTGTGTATTTACTTCTTAGCTTTGGTTGCCTTCTTGGCAGCTGGTTTCTTCACGCCTTTCTTTGGAGTTGCCTTCTTTGCCCCGGCTTTCTTGGTCGCGGCTTTGCCGGTAGGTTTCTTCGTCTTGGTTTTGGCAGGACTTTTCGTCGTCTTTTTCTTTGGAGATTTGGCGGGCTTCTTCGCTGGTTTAGTGGTCTTTTTCGTTGTCTTAGCTGTAGGTTTCTTGGGCTTGGCGGTCTTTGCTGCAACTTTCTTCGCGACAGGTTTTTTCGCGGCTGGCTTCTTCTCCGCCGTCTTCGTAGCTTCGCTGAGCTTGAAGCGTGCACGGTTGTCTTTAACAAGCTCGAAAGTACCACTGGCGATTCCTCTCTTCAACCCGTTGTTGATCAATTTCCCAGCGTTGTCACCGACCTTGTAATTCGCCAGGACGTATTTCACGATGGCTTGACGGCTGATCCCTTTGCGATCTTTAAGAGCTGTTATGGCAGCGATAATCATGTCCTTGTACGACGGATGAGCTGGTGGAGCAGTTTTCCTCTTTTGAACTTCCCCAGAAGACATTTTCGACTTGAGTTTTGCAAATTTTCTTTACGGTAGACCACACTCTGCGAAGGATAAACAGTGAATGAATTTTCAAAATTTTCGCGCTGTTTATATTCATGCGGGTCGGACGTCTGCGAACGCACCAGATAGCAAGACAACATGGCGGCCAGTACTTCAGATTTGTGCTTGTTTCACCTTGTTTAGCGTTGATTTTAGCACACTTGTTGACCTCCTTTTATCTCCAAAATTGTTTCACAAAGAAATGTGAACTTCAAGACTTTAGGTATGTATTTTAAATTGTCCTAAGACAACATTAAAGTAATTTATTTGCCGTTTTATATAAATTTATGTCTTGTAGTTGTTGGGAATTTTTTCGTTAAAATGAAATATGCGGCTTTTTACGAGGTTTATATTTGTTATAAACAGCTTTAGGTATTAGCTAGAGTTCTAAAGTATTGTACTACAAAGTTTCAGGGTATATATCGCATTATTTCCCTAAGAATTTTTGGTCTGAAGTTGACGAAAAAACACAACGACTGACCGAACAATTTTGATCCTCAATGAGTTCAAGCTTGATAATCTCAAAAATTTCCAGCGATTCCAAGCTCTTGTCAAAAACGTTTCAGTGGATTTTTGAAATAATATACGAGTAAGAGTGGAATGTAAGTGATAGTTGCAGTATTCACAAGTTGCAGGCTTTAAAATTTTATTATTTTAATACTAACAAATTTGAATACATAAGCCAATTATCGTTCTGGTTAAACATGGCGTGCCTACGTATATACAAGTACCAAGTATTGTATGGCGATAAACATGGATAGGCCGTGGCTTAATACGATAAAAAAGCATGCTATTGAGATGAATATGTCACGAACATAGGGCTTCGTTAAGGTATAAAACTGCAATTGTGTTTATACTGTGGACATTTTGAGTTCTTAGCTTGTTAGCTTGTATCAATTATTCAATTTTATTGTCAATTTGCTGTTTAAAAATGTTAAGCACTAAACCAGAGCCAATTTTACCCCTATACCTCTATATGGTAACCTCTGAATATATTAAAGCCCTCTCAAGTACAAGCCCACCATATTCAATAACGCTCAGGCCATGGCCCATTGCGAATATAAGCCCTCCCCCGAATATAAGCAATTCTGCGTACCCGCCCATGGGCTTATTGTTGGACAGGTATATGGGGATTCCAAGAGCTCAGACAAGTGACGATAATTACCTTAGGGACGGGTCATTTATGGTGGGGGGTGGCACTGAAGAGAAATGTTTTTCCTGGTAAAAATTTTGCTGACCCAAATATCATTTAAAAATTAAATACCCACCCCTGGCCAAAACTTTTACAAAATAATACCATTCAGTTGTCACACATGTCCTTTACCACTTCTGTGACACAAGTTTGATAACTAAACTTTGTTGTTGTATGTACATGTACTTTCTTTGGAGACACCATTTGTCTCCCAACAAATCGGAAAATGATCAAGATAGTGACTCTGATTGATTCACATATTGTATTGACATACGACTGTTGACATTGCTTTTTATTCTTCAATATTTCAGTGAGCCATGCTTTGGAAATGACAATAATTTTTATTACCCAACCCTTGAGTTGTTTTGTTTTTCATTTACCCAACATTTTAGTTACTCAAAATTTAGTTTACCCAACCCTTTTTTCTTCGATGCCACCCCCCGCCATAAATAATGACCGGTCCCTTAGAGATTATTGCACTTGAATTGGAATTGATATATTCTAAGAAATCTCTCGTATGTGTTTGTTACCGACCTCCTAGTTGTAACTTAGATGAATGGCTCCATTTGTTCACGACATTTCTGGAGGAAACTTCCCACTATGATAAAGTACTAATATCTGGTGATTTTAACTTCCACGATCTAACTTGGAACTCGAACTTTGTGACTGTTATTTCACAAAAAATATTTCTGCTGGGTCTCCTGAATTCAGAGAACTAAGTTTTGATTTTTTTACAGCAAGTGAACAATGAACATGTACCCGATCAGAGTTAACAACATTTTAGACCTTGTCCTAACAACCACTCCTGACAACAGCGTTAATCTATCGTGCGTTGCACTCAACACAGTGCACCTCTCTAGTGACCACCACCTAATGTTCTTCGACTTTTTACTACAAGTAAAATTAACAGGATATGATAAGAGAACAGTGTTCAACTTTCATCTCGCTGATTGGAACGGGTTACGAATAGCGCTTGCTCAATGCGATTTATCACCTAGCGAGTCTAGTGATGTCAACACTGATTGGGAACGGTGGAAAGATCTCTTCCTTGGTGTTGCTGCTGAGCATATCCCAGTCAAAATTACATTCAATCAAGCGGCGTAACACTCCTCCATGGATTGACGGTGAAGTGAGGCGTCTTCTCTCAAAAAAGGACTCGTGCAGGAACAAAGCTAAACGTACGTCGTGT